GCAGTAGCTAAATACAGGGAAAGGAGAGGCTAAAAGATCTCTTATGTATTCTCCCCTCATCCTTTATTGATGGCAGAGTAATCTTCGGAGCTTGAAGGCCACACTTTGCATCCACTCATCTTAGATGGCCCTAAGTAATGGATTTATAGGTGCTTAAGGCAGTGCAAACAACAGGCAGTCTTGAGTTTTCTTCTGGTTCTTCAAGCTTTTTCTCTAATATAATTCAATTGGCTATCATAGGAGCATTTATTTACAAGAAAGAGCAAAACTTATTTGACGGGAATTTTGAGCATGTTATTTTTTTTAATTAGACTTTTTCACAGGCGCAAGCGTTGTGCAGCAAAGGGCTCTGCTGCTTCCCCAAAGCAGATCTCCAAAACTCAAAGGAGTCGAAGCTTTTACCTTCAAAAACGTGACATTTGGTCAAAATAACAGATGCAGTAGAATGCACTTTCACAGTGCAAAATGTGGAAATGCTCTTGATGCAAAATGCCATGGATCGGTTTGGGAGGTGGGGAAAAGCCTTGGCTTTGGGGGAAAAGCTGCCCGTGACTCGTTTGTGGCACGTAGAAATATTTATGGGATTTTTCACACACCGAGAAATAGCAGCAAAGAAACAATTGCCTCACACAGGAGAATTTTATTCTATGAAAAGCTGTTAATTCAAAATGACTATCTTTAAATGTTTATCGTCCCTGTGTGCCTTCAAAGCTACAGGATTTGCACACAGCCTTACAAACTAATTAGCCCTTTGATCTCCCTGTGTAGGCCTTTTGGGGTGGAGTTGCTTTTACATTTTAAAATGTAGCCGGAGAGAGAACATTGGATTTCATTATGTGGTATTGCCTAGGAGCTTTATTTAATTTTTTTTTTAATTAAACAAACTGAGTTTTGCCCATGGAGAGGTTAATAAATACTTCAACATGTTGATCTTTCTGTGTTCTTCCCCCTCCCCATTAAACTAATCAGTGAGCTGTTTTTCTAGAACTGTCAGGCTGGGAAATAAAAAGTAATAGATTTTAGTATTAGTCCCAGTGGTTTTCTAAATAGTTGTTTCTTTGTACTCCCAGCTCTCTTGCTCGAAGCGCTGCTGGATTTAGAAGTGTGACTGCTAAAGTGGCACCGCGTTGGGTTTTTCCTGTCAAGTGAATTTTCAGTTTTCTGTTTTGAGGTGCAGGAACCAGCATCGTGCCAGGAGCAGCCAACGTGCCCAGGGAAACACCAGCTCCAGAGGCTGCTGCTTCGGTCAAAGGGCTCAATCCCTTCTCTGCGCCCACTTGTCTTCCCTTGCAAGCCCAAGTGACGTTTAAGATGTTAAATGATGTTAAGGTGTTTCTCTGACCGTGTTTCTGAAGATCATAATCTGCTCAGTTGAACCATATTTATCCCCACAAATGATGGTTGATATTTTTATTTGATAGTTTTACTGCTAAAAAGCTGCTGTGCAGTTATCTGGTGTTGGGCTGCAGAGCCCTTAGGCCGGAGGGGACCTTGGAGGGTGACGGCCACCTCCATCAGGGCAGGCCCATCCTCGGCACCTTGCTCTGCTGGACTTTGAGCATCTCCAAGGCTGGAGATGCCACCGTGTTTGGCAGCCCTTACTGTGGATTCCACCCCCTGGTAGTGTTGGAGTCTTTAATTCTTGCAGCCGATGAGCTGTGCCCCATCCCATCCTTATGCACCAGCAGCAGGATCCCCATTACTCTTCTCCAGGCTGGATGCAACCGGCTCTTAGCGCTTCCAAAGACATCCAGGGCTCCCGGTGATCAGCCATTTGCACCAGGAATGTTGGTGCCCCAAGAGTTGGCCTTGACTCCCCAGTTGGATCTTATGGTTAGATAATATAGGTATCCTTACCTAAAAAAGGAGTGAAAAAGAAGAGAGAACGGTTGAATTCTTGACTCGCTAGCCTCGAAGTATTTGCATTTTGTCTGCTGACCTGGTTACTACAGGAGTTGCACTCTGTATCTTTAATTTTAAAATAATAATAGATCGTTTTGCCACTTAACAAGGTGGTTTTGTTTCTTCTACAGAAAATACCGATGGGGTATCTCTGCAGCTTGGCAACACTAGAGATTTTATTATTTCTTTCGATCTCAAATTCATCACCAATGGGAGCGTTTCCGTGGTCCTGGAGACGACCGAGAAGAACCAGCTCTTCACCGTGCACTACGTCTCCAACACGCAGCTCATCGCCTTCAAGGACCGGGACGTCTACTACGGCATCGGGCCCCGGACCTCGTGGAGCACGGTCACGCGGGACCTGGTGACCGACCTGCGCAAAGGCGTGGGCCTCTCCAACACGAAGGCCGTCAAGCAGACGAAGATCATGCCCAAGAGGGTGGTCCGCCTCGTGGCCAAGGGGAAGGGCCTCCTGGACAACGTCACCATCTCGGCCAACGCGCACATGGCGGCCTTCTTTCGCGGCAGCCGCCTGGCTGGGACGAGAAGGGCGGCTGGCCCATCATGGTGACGCGCAAGCTGGGGGAAGGCTTCAAGGCGCTCGAGCCCGGCTGGTACTCGGCCATGGCGCAGGGCCAGGCCATCTCCACGCTGGTGCGCGCCTACCTGCTCTCCTAGGAGCAGGCGTTCCTCGGCGCGGCGCTGCGCGCCACGGCGCCCTACAAGCTGCCCGCGGAGCAGCGCGGCGTCAAGGCCGTCTTCATGGGCCGCCACGACTGGTACGAGGAGTACCCCACGGCGCCCAGCTCCTTCGTCCTCAACGGCTTCATGTACTCCCTCATCGGCCTCTACGACCTCAAGGAGACGGCGGGCGAGAAGCTGGGCAAGGAGGCCAGGCTGCTGTACGAGCGGGGCATGGAGTCGCTGAAGGCCATGCTGCCCCTCTACGACACCGGCTCGGGGACCATCTACGACCTGCGGCACTTCATGCTGGGCACGGCGCCCAACCTGGCGCGCTGGGACTACCACACGACCCACATCAACCAGCTGCAGCTGCTCAGCACCATCGACGACGCGCCCGTGTTCAAGGAGTTCGTCAAGAGGTGGAAGAGCTACCTGCGCGGCGGCCGGGCCAAGCACAACTAGCGCCCGCGCGAGGTACATTGGAAAAGGCTGCGTACTCAATTTGTACGGACTGTTGCGATGAAGTGGTCCTTAAAAACTTCTCTCCCCCCTAAATAATTGCATTCCAGAGCGGGAATATTCGGGTCTCCCAGGTGGGATTGGGAGCAGGGTCCGTCCCAGCGCCACGCGCAAGGCAGCGTCTTCCCCTTGTCCCGCCGCAAAATTAGCCACAAAAAGCAGCATCCGTTTGCGCCCCCGAGTCCGGGGATGTTTTTATTTTTCCTTTTTGTGGGAAAACACTTGCAGAAGCCATACCGGTCGTTAACGCCCAGCACTTGCCTGAAAAGTTGGTATGTGGCCTCTTTTAAAATGGAGTTTCCCGTGTGCGTGGGGAGCAGCGTCCCAGATCCTGTGGTGTGATGCGGTCGGTGTGTGTGCACTCGTAGCCTGGGGAGGGGACGGGGTATCTTTTTAAAGGCGGTTCTTTTTATAGGGATTCTTTTCTTGAGGTGGAAGAAACAAAAAAGAAAACACACGATTTTTTTAGTCCTATGTCTTGAGATACTGAAACTCGACGTTTCCTTGGAAGCTGCGGGACGGGGAGGCCCGCGCGGAGGCGTCGCGCTCCCGCTAGGAAAGCACAACGCCGCACAAAGCCCGAATCCTGCCGCTCCCAAAGCCGAATCCCGGGCGCGATGCGGGTCCCGAGCGTGGCCGTCCCCGGGGCCGCAGCCTCCGGGCGCGTTTTCCATGCGAGCGGCAGCAGCGCCGCGCCTGGGACTCGCGTTCGGTGCCGCGCGTGGCCGATGCCCTCGGAATTCCCCAA